GCACATAGATGGGTGAGGAAAACATAATTTATTAGGTGAAAAGGAAAAATAGCAGAGCAAGAAATAATCCTGCTAGCAGGTTTCCTGCCTCACAAATTGAATCCCAGATCACCACCCAGAGACAGGAGAGGCCAGGCTCCTCCCCACTGCAAATGGCACAGAATTCCTGAGGCCTCACCCCATTCTCCCAGTGTGCAGGTGGGCATTATTTAGAAAGAGTCAGTCAGGAAAGAGCAGGCTTCATCCAGGATTGGCAGTCTGTTTTTTCAGCCTGCAGTTTGTTTTAGGCTTGAAAAAGGGGTTTTGCCTGGGGGATCCTTGGTTTCCTCCTATCTCTGTAATTTTCCCCTCTGAAGAAATACATCTAACTGCCATAAGGATAAGGAGGAAGATTAATCTTAACTGCCTCCTGCTGACAGGGTGTGCTGTTTTGCTAAAACATCAGTCAGATTTCCCTGAGAGGCCTACCTACGGGTCTCAGCAAAAGGGGCCATTATCCCAGCCTCTGGTTGCATGACCATTTGGAGTTTGATGGCTGAAAGCAAGAAGAGACAAACTGGGTTATTAGAAAACATGTATTAAAATAAGGGGAGAGGGGTAAGGACAGCTCAAAAACCTTGAAACCTTTTACCAGTCTGTTCAGGGGGATAGCAGCAAAAGCTTCTAAGGCCTAATAAACAGGCATAAATGAGGCAAAAACAGATTTTGAGAGGAATCTATTTGCTTTTAATTACTGGTGTTCCATGAGGAAAACAGAGGTCTCTTCCTTCTCATGTGTGTTGAGAGTGGCAAGGAAAAATGGAGAAAAATAATTCAGTCAGCTGAGAAAAAGACTTTTTTCAGCGAAATAAGGTTCAAGAAAATAAAAACATAAATACCTTTTAAATATACCTATAACTTGGATATCCACTTTTAATTAAGCTGAGCGTTCTTTAAGAAAACCCTTTTAAATCTCATTACCGGACTTTAGCCATGCCAAGTGGCCAATATTTCTGGATTTCAAACTTTACAAAGGTTCAAAAAAAGGAAAATTCAAGGTGGTTCATGGAGAAGAAGAGAATCAACAAATAACAAAGGTTGCACAGATATCAAACCAGAAAGAACTCATTCTCTAAGCCAGGATTGAATCCCAGGCCACAAATGTAAAATGGCAGAGGCTAGAACAAAACATTGCCATGTTATGCCACGTGGTTACAGGTCTGGCTCCCAAGGATGTAAAACAGGTTGGAGGCCTGCAGCAAAATTTGCTACTTACCATATAGAAAGTCATATAATCAGACCAGATTGGCTACAACTTAAGACCAACATCACAAATCCTTTTTCATAGTTAAAATTTTACAGAGAATATAAACAGTAATAGTTGGGATCTTGGCCTAGTAAAATATTTTTTAAAAAGAAAAAAAAAATCCTCTCACATAAAAGTTAACTGCTAATAGGGTAGAGAAAAAGAAGTTCAAAGTGTTAAAATGTGTGCGCTGAATGAAGAGACCCCCCAAGCAGGCTTTGTGTGAACAACATGGCTCTTTATTCACCTGGGTGCAGGCAGGCTGAGGCCGAAAAGGGCATCAGTGAAGGCCGGTGGGATAGGAATTGGTTTTATAGGTTTGGGGTGGACAGTGGAAAGTTACAGTTTAGTGCCGTTTTTTGCAAACTGAGGCGAGGGTCATAGGGGTGTAGATGTAGTCATGAGGTTGACCAAGGTCGGTGACAAAGTCCAATGGCTTTATCAATTAGGGCCAGAATAAGGAACAGCAGAGAATGTCTCGAAATTAAGTAGGTGCCTCAGGGGTTGATCGTTTCTACAGTCTTCTAGTTACTTTAGATTTTCCAGGAACTCATCTGGAGTGTCCGTGCAGGTCACAGAGGTAACATGGCATCCATGGAACCAGCATAAAAGACCTTACACAAAGTGCCAGGGTATCCCTGAAGGAAGAACCTCTTTTTTTATATATATATGCAAATGAAGTTCTTTCCCCCTGGCCCAGACCAAATGGTAGTCTGGCCAGTCAGCCACAGGACACAGGCCCCGAGGCCGCCTTGGGGCCTGGGCAGTGGTTGTGGCTCATCCCCACCTTGAGTGGCCATTGGACACTGCACACACATGTAGCAGACAAGGCCATACACCTAAGCCTGTAGGAAGGGGAGCAGGGAGGGAGCCATCACTGTCCAGTCGGTCCTGAGCCTGTGCCTGGAGCCATTAAAGTGGGTGTGGACCACCTCTAGTATTAGAAAAGATAGGTGTGGTAACTGTTTTGGGGAGGAGGAACAAGAAGAATGCCGTAGGACAAAAGGCCCAGAAACACAGAAGGGAAAGTGTTCGAATTTCACTCACTCTTCCTTTGGGCCTACATTGTATAGTGAAGATGTTGCAGAATTTTCTCCTTAGTTCAGTTAAGAAAGATTAGGCTCATGGACACCTACAAGGGTGAGGAAAGTGGAATTGATTGGGCAAAAAGGAAAAATAACACTCAGCAAAGTGAGGGAGAGTCCTGCTAGCAGATAAAGTACAGTTCATACTTCCTATTTTGTCACAGCATAGTAGAAAGGTATACATGCAAAGGTCTGGGTTTAATGCAGTCAATTTGTATGGCCTTAAGGGCATCATTGTATTATTCAACTATACAATTTCAGAAATTCTTTTAGAGATGGCTTATTGGTAATAAACTTCGTTTTTGTTTATGATGCTGTGAGAAAGCTTTTTGGGGTTCTGAATTTTAGGTTTTCTTTTCTCAATTTTTTTAAGATTATTGACATCCTTTTTGTTCTAGCTTCTTTCTACTGCTCTTGAAAAGCATTTTGCCTCTTTAGTTGGTGTTTCTAAATGAATTATCCTTTCATCTGATTTTAAGATCTGTTTACTTTATAGACAAAAACATGGCTTCATCTTAGTGTGTCTAATTGTAGATTTCTTTTTAATTATCTTACTTGATCGGAATAATTTCTGCGTCTGTATTCAGTTCTGGAAAATTCTCAGCCATCAATTCTTCAAGTATTTCTTCTTTTGTTTCTTGCTGTTTTCTTCTGAGCCTCTGGCCATGTTTCAAACTGTTATTCTTTTATACCTCTTAAATTGTTTTTCAATTTTTTTTGTCCATTTGGCTTTTATCCTACATTCTGGGCAGTTCTTTCAGATTTCTCTTCTAGTTTGTAAATTCTGTTTTCAGTTTCCCTCCTTGTGGTTCCCGGGCTTAATTCTTCAAATCCCAGTTCAATTACTTGTTTTGTCTAGGTATTGTCCTCCTCTTTCCCCCTGCCCTGTGCTTTTAAATTTTGTTTATCATTACATCTCTGAGTTCACCTTCCTGTTTGTCTGTTAAGTCTTTGAAAATTATCTTACTTTCTTGTGAGTTGTTAACAAAGAGAGTCAAACTCTATCAAATATTTTAAGAAATTTATTTGGAGCCAAATAAACTTCTTTCTAAAGAGGTTTATTTGAAGCCAAAAAAAAAAAAAAGAGAGAGAGTGACCATGGCCCGAGGCACAGTCTCAAGAGGTCCTGAGAACATGTGCCCAAGGTGGTTGGGTTACAGATTGGTTTTACACATTTTAAGGAGACATAAGACATCCATCAGTACTTATGAAGTTTACATTGATTCAGTCTGGAAAGGCAGGACCGAAGGGTGGGGACAGAGGGTGGAAATGGGGATTGGCTTACAGGTCACACATGGATTCAGATATTTTTTGATTGGCTCTTGGTTCAAAGAGTTAAGTTACTATCTAAAAACCTGGAATTAATAGAAAGGAATTAATAGAAAGGAATTAATAGAAAGGCTAGGTTAAGATAAGGGGTTGTGGAGACCAAAGTTTTTATGTAGATGGAGTCTCATAGGTGGCCATCTTTAGAGGCAGTAGATGGCAGATGTTTCCTAATTAGGCTGGACTCTCAGTTAATCTATTCAGGATTGGGAGGGCCTGGAAGGGGAAGGGTATAGTTATGCTAATACAGATGCAAAATTTTCCCCAGAAAAGACTGCTTTGCAGGGTCATTTCAAAATATGGCAGAAAACATATTTGGGGGTAAAATATATTGGCGTCCTTCATCTGTCATGTGACATTATTCCAGAGTCAGATTGAAAATTAAGAGCGGTTATATAGGGTTAAATAAAACCTTTATAGTGTTAAATAAAATCCATCTGATGAGATTGTTATTGTTTGTAGGGCCTGACTCTCCATCTTCTTAAATAGGAATTTGGGCAAGAAAGAATTAGAACTAAGAGTTTAGTTCTCAGAGTGAAGCAGTGCTTTCAAATCTGACTCTTACCTTCCATCTAGTTTTATCAAAGCAGGGGTACACTGTAGTATGCACTACAGTACCTTAGTACATTTTAGTTTATGCGTTTGGCATTTTGGTATAGTTATTGGTGAATTTGTGCCAGCAACTAAGTAATATGTATTTAGGACCACAAACCTTTGATTTTTATAGGATTAATATTCTAACATTTTTCAAGTTTACTGCCTTTTTATCTGATTTTATTATTTTGTTTGTCTAATGAATATATCAAACTCTTCGGCATGTGTATATTACTGCCTCTTAATCTGATAATTACTATTAAATAGTTAAGAACTATTCCAGTAATTCAAGGGTAGAAGGCTACAATGTAGGGATAATGAAAAAGTAATTTTTTATTTGATAATTATTTTCTAACAATTTCTGGATATTAAGATTCCTAAAATTCTAAATTTTAGAATGGCATAAATGAATTCTGTCTTCATTTTATTTGTAGTGTTGAAGATGTTTGTCATTTTAGTCTTGTAAAACTGGTTTTTAGAGCTTATTTTAAAAATCATTATTAGTTTTAATTATTCTGTGAATGAATTTGGTTTCTATTTTCATGTTAAAAGAAAAATTGGAAAACATCTCAAAATTACAGTTTTTTACCATTTGTAATTATTTTACTGTGATTAACTTCTGAAGGTAAATGCTCAACATTTGAGTATTCTGTGCAAAAGAAAAGTATTGTTTATTCTAAGTTATGTGTATTTTCTTATTGTCATTTTAGACAAAGAAACAGCCTTGGTATAATAGCACATTAGCGTCAAGACGAAAACGACTTACTGCTCATTTTGAAGACTTGGAGCAGTGTTACTTTTCTACAAGGATGTCTCGTATCTCAGGTACATATCCAGACCTTCTCAAATTATCTCAGATCTATATTTCAGATCTGTTTCTAGGTTTTCATGCTGAATTTATGGAAAATTCTAATTGCAAAGCGAAAGGGTGTATTTTTTTGACATAGTCTACCATATCATGGAGGTTTGTAGTGATCTTTGAGAATACTACTTTCCTATGACTGTTTTTTATTCTATATTTGCGAATTCTGATAAAGGTAAAAAGAAAGTCAGCCATGAACATGTAGCTAGCAAAAGTAAGTTTCATTCAGTTGCCTCCTAATACTTAACATTAAATAAACATTAAGTTCTAAGCACGGTCCTCTGTGCTAAGAATAAAAAGATGAAAGAACTGATTTCTGTCTTTAAAGAGTGTTGTAAATTGAGTCAGGGAAAGCAACAAACAGTTCTCTGTGATATTGTCTGTTATATAAATTTACAGGAATATCATGAGAATGGATAATATCTACTAATACAACTGTATTTCAGGCCGAGCTGAAAATGGGGAGGTATAAGGGAATGATCAGTGTAGGGATTTCAGAGGAGTTCTCTGTGCGCCATTCTAGTATGAATTAACTGAAAAAGATAATTAGAAACATGTTCAAAGTAGAGGAAATAACGTATGTAAAGACATGGATGTGATAGCATAGGATATTTCTATTACTGTAAGGAAGTAATTTAGTTTTTTTCTCTTTTTCCTAACTGTGTTCTTCAGTCTTTCTCAGTGTCTTTTCTCATCAGTGAAGTAGACATTAACACTATCCCTAATAAGTTTTTTAATGGTTGTAAGTGGTGTGTGTAAGGCACAATGCTTGGTACATGTTGGGTGCTCAACTAATTCGTGTCCTTAATAGGGCATCTGCTCAAAGTAAACCCCACCAAGGGGAAAAAAAAAGTCTGATATTTTATTGGTTGTTAAAAACCGGGTGTTGGTTTTCTCTTGAATAAATATGTTTATATTATTTAAAATCTACATATTGCTTAGATCCTACAGACTAATTTGCCTCAGGATTGGTGGTATAGGAAAAGATATTAGATTTACAAAGCATTTTTCCTCTGAAAATCAGGGAGAAGCCAAGATTTGTGTGTTTGAAATGAAAAACAAACAGTTTTTATACATGGAAAATTTTTATTTATTGCCTGGGAATTAAGCCCCTTATTGTGCTTGTGTAATAATCTATAAATATAAACGACAATAGGAAGTTGTTAAGTTGTACGTTGCCTGATACCTGCATTCTGACTAGTAGAATGTTAAACCTTCATTCATTATTTGTTGGTATAATGTTATAATACAACTATAGGCAAGTGGCAGACCTTAATAAAAAGAGATGGTAAAGAGATTGAGGGAGGCTATTATTATTAATAATTTTTAGGTCAGTAACAGCATAGGCATGGTATGGAATAGTAAAGGTAATCACAAGCCAGTTTATTTTGGGAGGTGTAGCTTTACAGGAGAGTAGATTAATAAATTAAAACCAGGAGGAAAATTAGATAGGTTTTTATTTGTGTGGGTATGGCTGTATTGTACCTAAAACATGTCTCTAGTTGTCAGGAATCTTAAGTTAGCTAGCTACTATAATTGTATTGGTAGATTGTAAGTTCCTCCTAGTACCTTTGACTGTAAAGGGGAAATTATAACTTCTCTGAAATGGAGTACCTAAGAGGTTGATTTTCCTTTGTATATGTTCACATGAGAATCTGTAAATCCATCTGTATTCCCTAACTTTTATTTCCAACTATGAAAATGAGAGATGAATATTAAAGAACGATTACTTTGGAGTTTTAATTATAGTTGAAAGAGGGGTTTAATTATAAAGAAAGAAGACAATGAATACACTTTTACAAACCAATTTGTAATTAGGATAGGAGAGGTGATATGTATGGATATTGATCATAAAACCCCATGCAAGCAAAATCCTTTTTGTAACCTCACAAGTTAAAACCAATTACTATACTTTCAGATGTGAAATAACTAATTTTACTGTTTTCCTTATGGTTTCTGTTGAAAGTAGCTATTATTGAGCTTATATGATAGGCAGAAATCTAGTTAGCCTAGAACAGGATTATGGTCTCCAACAGAATACATAATACTAAATGCTTGTGAGTTTTATGTACTTAGGAATTGATGGCAAAATGGGAAAGGATAGGATAACATTGAAACAATTTTTAAATTAATAAAACCAACCATCTTTCCAGTATGTAGAATGTTAAATAACTCACAGTGATAGGATTCCATATAAAAAGAATCATTAACTATTATATGCAGTACAGTTGTGGCTTTTATTTTTGCAAATAACCCATGTTTTATTTTAATGTGCAGAATTTCCTGAAAATAATTTTTGTGGAGCAAGAGTTTTATCTCAATACTGTTAAGATATTCCCTGTTAGGTAATTCCTTTTGCTCTCTTTAAAATGGAAGCACTACTAATTGGACCCTTTAAATCTAGGTGTTTTGATGGATTTGGTTAGTGTTTAAATCTTTAAAATTTGTAAAATATCAAGGACAAAAGCTCAGTTTCCTCAAGTAATGTTATTTATTATTTTTTATATTGTTAGATAAATTCCATCAACCTAATATCTCCAGATAACAAATTCTTTACTGTACATTATATTATCTGTATAACTCTTTTAACTTAATGATTCTTGCATCTTACTTTTGTTATGCTTACTGTTACTTCAGATGGCATTTAAGAAGGGAAATCATGAAAGTTTACCTTCAAAAAGTTGTGTGTGTGTATATATACAAGCTTAGAATAAGGAAACTATGAAAATACAGTGGTATAGCAAACTTAGTTTCAATCTAGGAAGCTAAAGTGCTCATCGTTTTTTTTTTTTTTTTTTTTTTTTTTTTTCATCAGAACAGAAAATATAAATTCAAATGACACATTGCTGGAAAGCAATGATTTTTTTAATTTATGCTTTTACTGTAGGTCTGCTTCTATTAATAGACCAGAGAATAGATTAGTTGTATTCTCAATTACTTCTTAAACTGATTTTATGTTTTAAATCCCACATGATTTAGCTTTGAATAGTTTACTGAAGTGGACTATACTGAAGGTATCTGTATCGTGTTCCACTGGTTGGAATTGTTTTTTCATGTTTCACCAAGAGATCTGAATGAAAATTTATTTTTTTCTTGATAAAGGCACTCTTTGGGATACATGGGAGCCATTTTAAACTTCGTTTTGTTTGTTTGTTTTTTAGCATTAATAGTTCATAACATTGCAGTTTTCTATTCTCTTCCTGTAATATGATTTGAAAGATTTCAGTGTATTATTTGAGCAAATATTTCTTCTTACTTATAAACCATTTTATCTAAAATGTTATTGTGAACTAGATTTTAACAATAAACATGGGCATAAATATGTATGCCAGTAAACATAGTCCTTCAAACTAACAAATACCCATCCACTGTATGTACTCTTCTTTGCATCCTCACCCTCTCCATTGATGGATTTTTTTTTTGTTTTAATGACTTTTCTCTCAAATAGTAACTCTTTTATTATTTTTATTTTTCCATGACATTATTACCAAAAAAATGAGAATTTACAATGGAAAGAGACAGTGTCTTCAAAGAACCGAGACATTTTTTATTAAAGCTGAAAAATTAACTAAGTTGTGCAAACTAGCCTTTAATAAAATCTTTAAAACTTTGTATTTAGAATATAACTTTTATTTTGTGGATATGGCTCTTTGACTTACTTTGTAGTTCATCTATTTTTTTTTTTTTTTTTCATATAGATGACAGTCGAACTGCAAGCCAGTTGGATGAATTTCAGGAATGCTTGTCCAAGTTTACTCGATATAATTCAGTACGACCTTTAGCCACATTGTCATATGCTAGTGATCTCTATAATGGTTCCAGTATAGTCTCTAGGTAAGTATTGGATGTACTTCTCACTATTTTCTTTTGTATGAACGTCTAGAATTGAATTGGAGAAGCACTTATAGCATTATTGTTAAAAGTCTGGGTTCTGAAGTAGCCTGCCAATTATTCTGTGATTTTAGGCAAGCTCCTGAGTTTCTATATGCCAAATTTCTTCATCTCTAAAATGGAATAATTGGTAGTATCCATCTCATAGGGTTTTAGCGTTTTTGTAGTATCTATGTCTGATTTTGATGAGTCAAAACACATGAGTATCCTCTTCTCATAAGTGCTCCCACCTCTGTAGTTTTCTGGAAGCTTGTATAGAATTGATATTGTTTCTTATTTAAATATTTTGTAGAATTTACCAGTGAAGCTTCCAGAAAATAATTTTTACTACCAATTCAATTTTCTTAAGAGATTTAGGGTTAATGAAATTATCCATTTCTTCTTGATTCAGCATTATTATTAGTTTGTATCTTTTAAGACATTTGCCCATCTCATCAGGGCTGTCGAACTTTCTGGTGGACAATTATTCACAATATTGCCTTATTATTCCTTTAATATCTTTGGATTCAATGATGATTTTCCCTCTTTCATACCTGATAATGGATTTTGTTTCTTCTTATCTTTTTCCTGAAAAGTCTAGCTTAGAAGTTTATCAGTTTTATTGATCCTCCCAGGTAGCCAGCTCTTGGTTTTATTGATAGTTTGTATTTTTGTATTATCATTAATCTTTGCTCTTAATAATTTTCATTCTTCTGCATTTTGAAGGCTTAATTTGCTCTTATCTGCAAATTTCTTAAGGTAAAAATTGAGGTCGTTTGGTTGATACATTTCTTCTTTTCTAATACATTTTGTGCTATATACATTTCCCTCTAAATACTTTATTTAGAGGGAAATATATAAATAAATAACATAAATGCTGATGCAGTACTTTTCCATTTAATTTAGTTAAAAGTACTTTTTTAGCTATTCTTTTTATTTTTAAAAAAGTTTTTTTAATTGACAGATAAAATTGTGTGTATTTATTGCATACAGCATGTTTTGAAGTATATATTAAATTATCTTTTAATTTCCATCTTGATTTTTCTCTTTGACCCATGATTACTGAGGCTGTTACTAGTTTTCAAATATTGGGATTTTCCAGTTACCTTTATGTTACTGATTTTTTTTTATTTTTAAGAGATGGGATCTCATTATGCTGCCTAGTCCTCAAACTCCTGGGCTCATGCATTCCTCCGGCCTCAGCCTCCCAAGTAGCTGGGACTACTACTGTACTCAGCTTGATTTATATTATTTTCATCATTATTTGAAATATTTAATGAAATTTTATAATATACAGGAAAATAGAATGGAGTAATTTTTCACATAACCATCACCCACAGTCAGCAGTAGTTAAGATTTTGCTGTACATGATTCATGTGTCCTCTTCATTTTGATTATTTTTTGCTTTAAGTATTCTATTTTTTCTGTGCTCCCTGACCATGTTTTTTTTTTTTTAATTATTTTTTAATATTTTCAACTTCTTTTATATTAAAGGGTACACATGCAGGTCTGTTACATGGGTATATTGCATGACCCTGCATTCTGAAACTTCACTGAATTTATCAGTTCCAGGAGCCTTTTGGCAGAGTCTTTAGGGTTTTCTGTGTATAGAATCATATTGTCAGTGAAAAGAGATAATTTGACTTATTCTTTTCCGACGTGGATGCCATTTCTTTCTTTCTGTTGACAGATTGCTCTGGTTAGGACTTCCAGTAGTATGTTGAATAGGAGTGATGAAAGTGGGCATCCTTGTCTTGTTCTAGTTGTCAGAGGGCAATAGTTTCAGCTTTTACCCATTCAGTATTATGTTGGATATGAGTTTGTCATACATGGCTCTTACTATTTTGAGTTATATTCTTTTTTTTTTTTTTTTTTTTTTTTTTT